AGGCGTGAGCCACCGCGCCTGGCCTATTTTTGGTTTTTAAAATGCACGATTATGTTTTTGTTAATTTTTGGTATGAGGTATGACAAATGGTCCAAACTCTTTTTATTTCTTGCCCTAGATCTGGAATCAGCCATTTCTAAAGGGCACAATCTAGGCTCTATGCTACGCAATATACACTGAACTATGTGCATTTTGAGTAACTTTGGCTTCTCCAGCTGCCCTGCATGCTTCCTATCTGGGCCTTCCAAATTACATAGTTATTGTGTGAGCTTGTGCTTTTGTTGTTAAATTGCATTGATTTCAATCTATTTAATCCCAGTTTTTCCAATATGCCTTATTTTCAGCTTTTGGTTTTGTAGAATATGAGGATTTTTAGTAACACAAATTATGTTGAAGTAGAAATGCCTGTAGTTTGAAAGTACAACAAACTTGTAATGATGTCATTTTATGTGTTGTGGGCTGAACTTTAAGTCTTGTTATAAAATGTAACTGACTCTTAAGGCTTTAGTTGTGTTTAATGGGGAATTGTTTTGGGGATACTGATTAATGAGCTGGTTTATAGAAGTAATGTCTTATTTTTGAATTCATTCTTTTGTTTTTTAATTCTTTACCAAACATTTATTTTCTCTGAGTAAAAACTTTTTGCCTTTCTCTTTCCTATATAGCATCAATAACTAGCTTTCTCACAGTGTTAGCTTGGTATCCCAATACTTTGCTCCGGACCTGGTGCCTTGTGCTTCATAGCCTAACACTTATGACAAACATGCAGCTTAATTGTAAGTTCAGTAATTTATTCATGTAAATCTCTGGCATATACTTTAGTATTCTTGCTATCAGATTCATAACATAGGTTTTTCAAAGAAGTGATATAGTTGTGAAAATGATTGAATCCCTTATTGAAATGTCTCTTCTGAATTTGTTCTTACGTATCTTATCCATTGTACTTGTTTACTTTGGTAATGTAAATATTCTTAAATATCTCTCATCAGAAGTTCAAATCATATTTTTATCTTTTCAAAACTTACTGATTATTAAAAGAAAATTGATTGCTTTTAGAGTACAAAGTGAAATTTTCACTTGTAGTCTTAAGTTTTTATATTGGTTATTCTTTTAAGGTATCTTTGCACTTAAAAATGATTTATTCATTATAATATAAACATGTATGACTAGATTCCTGGGTTTTGTTTATAATTTAAATCATCGCTTAGCATCAAAATGGTATTCCATTTTCTCATTTGGAAATATATTTTCCAAAAATAGAATCAAAACATCACTATCTGATACTCATGATAGATTTAACACAGAGTGTTTTTTTATTCAGCTCAGAAAACTGGTATGTTACCAGTATATGGGTTCACAGATAACCTGTATAAGATGCCATGCAAAAAGGAATAGTTTTTGCCTCATTTTATCTTCAAATACTAGGTTAAAATTTACCTGAAAAGTGTCTTGCTGTTTCTAGAAGGGAGAGGTAGTTACTAAGAATAGGCTCACCAAATAAGACAGTAGGGATCTAAGTTTTTTCCCACTTTACTATGTACTGAATAAGAAACCCATTAAACAGAACATATTTTCATAATCAAAACTGAGACAGGAGGAGATATGTGGTAAATGAAAATAGAGAATGAAGTCCAGCTTAGTCAACATAGTAGACATTGAAACTGTTTTAATAAGCTACAAATATTGGAACTGTATTTTACTTGGAACTACAAGATGTTTTGCAGTATTACTTTCCATTGTCTCATGCTCCCTTTATTAAGAGCTTTTAAAAAAATGTTTCGTAGCTGGTTCCAGCAGTGCCATTGGAACTCAGGAGAGTACTGCTCATTTGTTGGTTTCAGATCCAAACCTTATTCATGTGTTAGTGAAATTTCTTTCTGGCACCAGTCCACATGGAACAAATCAACACAGTCCACAGGTAATATGACTTTTAAACTGGGATATGCCCAGACTATTCAATAGGCAATATTCGTAAAGTAAAACTATGTAGATTTTTGTGTATTAAGATAATAAAATATTTTGCATTGCTTATAATAATAGCTATACTGACACTGAATAGTATCAGTAAGTTGTCTTAGAACAATACTAGCTTTTGTCAATATAGTGACATTAATTTTGGATAATTTAAGAAATGTTTTGAATAAATACTTATTGCAAAGTCAGGGAAGTGTTTCAGAAATTTTGGAATTTAAAAAATTTAATAATGTATCATTTTTGATGCCCTCTACTATTGAGATTAACAATTTACATGATCCTTTTATGAGATCAATGAATAATTTTGTTTAACAAATTATTACTCAGGACTTAAAAGCATTTTCATCTCACTATGGTTTTTTTATCAGTTTAATTTCTTGCTATATTGTACCGCTTCTGTGTAAATATTTTTACTTCATTGTATTTCTTTTCATATAAATGTATTTAGTATTTATAACATCCTTTTAACAGAAGTTATTCAAGATTATCTTGCAAATTTATCATTTTAGAATTCTTATCTAGAGTTTCCATTAGATACGTTTCAAGGTAGTTGTTTACTCCGTAACAGTCCAATTCCTTCTATTTCATTTATTCAGTATTTAAGAGGCTTCTATGTGCTAGTTTAGGCACAGTTTTAGGTACTAGACATACAGTATTTACCAAGACTGAATCTCTGCCTTCATAGAGCTTACATTCTGATAGATATATTTAGTCAATACTCTGATATTGAATATACCCTAATTTTGTACTTCATGATAAAAGAAATGAGAAAAGGGAAAAAGGGAGGGAGAAGAAACTACTTATAGTTAGATTGGGACAGGGTTTTGGTGGGGTCAGAGGTGTGTTATCAAGTGGTTACTGTACTTAAAGACTGAGTTTGGGCTGGTGTGGTGGCTCACACCTATAATTCTAGCACTCTGGGAGGCCGAGGTGGGTGGATCGTTTGAGCTCAGGAGTTTGAGATCAGCCTGAGCTAGAGTGAGACTCCGTCTCTACCAAAAAGTCGAAAGAAATTACGTGGACATCTAAAAATATATAGAGAAAACTAGCCAGGCATGGTGGCGCATGCCTGTAGTCCCAGCTACTTGGGAGGCTGAGGCAGGAGGATCACTTGAGCCCAGGAGTTTGAGGTCGCTGTGAGCGAGGCTGATGCCATGGCACTCTAGCCCGGGCAACAGAGTAAGACTCTGTCTCAAAAAAAAAATATTGAGTTTGGAATGAGAGGAATCCTGGGATCACGAATTCCAATTACATCATTTTATGTGTGAGAAAACACGCATCAGCTACACTGCCCATAATTTTACAACTAGTTAGTGATAGAGCTAGGTGTCAGGAAGCAAGGCATTATATAAAAATAATATTTTTTTCTCCTTTTTTTTTTAAGGCAGGAGGAAATAACTTTGAAAGACTTTTAAAAAGTTATTGAGGAATCAAGCTTTCCTATTGAAATCTTGGTTTTATATAGGAAGTTAAGAGTGCTGGGGTTTAGGTGCACAATATTAGAAATTAACTTAACTCCAATATAGTTGGGAGTTTATATTGTGTTTCCTCCCCCCCAATAATGTTCCATGGTTTTGTGACTTGTCCATCATAACAAATTAGGATCACATAAAATGATATATGGAAGTGTTAACAACACATTGCAAAGCATACCTCAGGTTACTTAGTGTGGTATTCATTACTATTTCTTTCATTGTTGAGACGAAAGTTTTTCATGTCTTGGTATAGTTTGTTTTTAGCTTTTAGTTTTGTTTTTCACTAACTTCAGTACTTGCTCTGCTAGTTGTTAGAAGCATGGCCTCTTAACACATCACTTTACCTCTCTATACATGAGTTCTTTTGTTTTGAAATGGGATAATTAATACGATTATTTGTGAAAATGAATTCAGAAGTTTTTTGTAAACTCTTGACATTATACTTGATACTTTGTAAATGAATGATCGTGTAAATGCTATCATATAATAGTTTTCAGTGGATATACGTTTCTCTTCAGGTTGGTCCAACAGCTACACAAGCTATGCAAGAGTTTCTTACACGATTACAAGTGCATCTTTCTTCAACATGTCCTCAGATATTCAGTGAATTTTTGCTCAAGCTAATTCACATACTTTCAACTGAAAGGTAAATTTTGATGTACTCATATGTTCCTGATACAGAAGTAACATCTAATCTTCCAAATATACTTTTCCTTAAAACATTGCTTGGGGATTTATCTAGGAACAGATAAGCAGGAGGACAGTAGGGATTAAAGGGGAAAGATTTATTGATGTGTTTCCTGATTATTTCCATTTGTTCATGGCTCTCAATTCCCTCAACTCCTTTTAATATGAAAGGAATACAGTGTCAAAACTTGGCTTGCTTTTTAACGATTTCATAGATTAGTTATTATAAACTTAATAGGTGAAATTTATTTTGAAGCTATTAAATTGTTCTGGAATACAGAGAGAATTAAAGCCACCAGTGATTTTATATGTAAGAAAACCTGAAAAATATAGCTTAGAAAAGACAATTATGTACTAATCTCATATAGAAATCTTAAATAAATTTATTAACCAAATCAGGCGATATATTAAAAGAATAAATTGTGACTATGATGGATTGATTCTTATAATGCATGAGTGCTTCAGTATCATCAATATTATAGTCATTTTTATCATTCTGTAAGACATTTTATACGATCCACCATTACTGATCAAAACATTTAATGGAATATAAACAGTGTTACATATTTAAAGTTATAAAAAAACTAAAAAACTACATGATAGATTACATGATGAACAAAACATGTCATGTTTTGAGTATTGAAAAAATTCCCAGTAATATCAGAAATAAGTCAAAGGTGCTATTGCCACCTTTATCATGTAATTTCATTCTGGAAATGCCAGTGCATTTGAAGTTATTTCAAAAATACATATTCAAAAATGAGTAAAATCATTTGTATATAATATTTTAAAAATTAACTTAGAAATCACAGGACAACGCGTAGTTTATAAAATGTAATGTAAGATAGGTGTGGTGTTGTG